GGAATGGAACAAATAAAAACATTGCCTTTTCGTTCAAACATTTCTTTAAACAAACGCCGTATTTCTTAAATACATGCAAGCATTGTGCTTAAACATTTGCATATGTCTAAATGGAAAACATTGTGCTCATTTTTATTACTTTACCAAAGGCGTATTTCATCAGTAAAATACGTTTATTTTCTTTTAAAGTCTAGCCTTTAAATGCGTTTTAGCTACCACTTGGAGAAGAAAACAATATACTAGATCGTCTATGTATAGAGTGTAGAGATGTAATTTTTTTACATTTACGAGTAACATGGTCATCAAGAAAAAAACTGGATAAAATGAAAAAGTAAACTGTTCTCTAAATTCAACATAGATATGAACTTACTCGTTCATTAGCTGTAGGATTATAATTGTTGGAAGTACCATAGTTTTTACTCTGTAATATAGTATTATCAACAAAACTTTGGGATAGATGTCCAACTTTTTGATATAAATTTAAATTGAACAAAACAACAAAAGACCGTTGATAGGTTTTGTTATACCTAATTCCTCACTCCTAGCTAATTTTCCAAAGGGCATAGTTCTCTATTTTGACCAGTTGGCAACCTAACAGGGTTAAAAGATTCTAGCCCTTTTTGGGGATATAAAAAAAAGTTATCTTCCCTCATTTCCAAAGTTTTGTTGTCACTTCCCACTGAAAGGTGTGGGGTTTTTTTTGTTGTTGTTGTTATCCTTTTAATGTTAATTAATAGTCACTAAAAAGACAATAAAACCACAAATGCTTTTCTGCAATTAATAAACCACAAGATTGTTAATAACAGAAAGTCAACTTTCAGAACATAAGCTTGAATTGCATATCCTCACACAAAAATTGCATGCTGGAAGTTAGCCATTATACCTATTATATTACATTAATAAGTAAAAATGGAGATTTTTAAAGTCAAAGTGCAATCCTAAAAACATCATCTTGCTACTTTGGGGTATATTTTCACTCATTTAACAAAGGGCTCAAAAATGTTTCTTAACATGAGTGTTTTGATACAAGGCTTCACATCGCTTCTTAACTTCTGATTTCATAAAAAAGCTAAATCCTGCCATTTCTCTTCTCTTCAAATATGAAAATTAGAAACATTCTGCCTTAATTATCTCTTCTGTTGTATCCCTTGCTAGCAAATTCTTTTGGAATAGATTTGGGAAATTCATTAGCTTTATAAGTGGAGTTACTGTTTTCCCTAAACACTTCATGGATAATTCCTTACAGGAGGATTTTTCTAATTCTCTACCAACATGTGTTGGCACAATTTTATTTCTCAGTTGGTACTGCATTGCCTGGACGAGAAGAAAACAGCAGGGAACCTCTTTACTTCCTTTGGGGAGGAGGGTGGGTGGCTTTACCCCAGGGTAAAGACATTGTCATGGCAGCTTAGCCTGGGCTGTATGATTGGAAATTCAGCTTGAACCAAAAGGGGTAAAAGATCCTGTGAACGGGAAATAAATACGCCTTGAGTTAGAGGTTGCAAACTAGTGGTCTGCAGATGTGTTTGTTTGCCTCTGACAATGTTAAGGAAGTTTTTAGTTTCCAAGATTTCAAAAATGGGAGACTTGAGATTATGGCTAGTTTCTTATCTGGTTATGTGCTGAGATGGCTGACCAGTTGCTGCCCCCTTTACACAGGGTATACATTGGCTCCCCTGGGCTCAATGCAATCGTTTATTCTAGGCATCTGGCCACTGGAGGAATCTGTGTTTGGGATACCTGCCCCAGGTTCTATAAAATTGTGAAAGACATCGTCACAGAGTGAAGGTAGACTTAGGAAGAAGACATGATCCTAAGTTTCTAAGTAAATACGATGAGCTCAGAAACGAAAAGTCACTGGAATTATATATGGCCACTGGATGTATCCCATTATTTCTGATATCAGTCCCCTGGCACAAGGCAAAGTCAGGTTGTATCAAAGAGGAAAAAAAAATTTTTTTTTTAAAGAAAATGATGCTTTTGTGTTGTACTTTCCACTTGGAAAGGCACTGCCTTGATTCAAATGAAAATCACTGGAAATCTTGGCTAATGGAACCTAGGAACAGTAGCCAAATGCGAAAGACTGTGCAAGAAGAAGAGATTCCCCAAAGGGCTACAGAGTAACAGTGATGGTGATGATGATGGTGGCAACAATGTCTTGACATTTTTGAGCGATAACTGTGTGCTGGACATTGTTCCAAGTGCCTTATCTGAACTTTGTCATATTGTTATATTTTACTTTCCAATTTGCTACCCCACCTTCTTTTTCTTCTTGTAGCTACCTTGAGCTCTCTAAAACTCTAGATGAGGTAAATGCTATAATTTTGCTGAGCCTTAAGATGGCACTAACCTTTGGCCTTGACTGGTTCTGAGTGCCTGGATGTTCTTTTTTTGCAGCCTTTCCTTGACTGTACCCCAAGTTTGTCCTCCCTTAGGCCTCTTCCTGTCACGGTCTATGTGTCTATTCCTACTGGCACCAGACTTCTCACCTCAGCAAGAAATATTCTTGGGCAGAGGGTAGAGAGAATCAGCCAAGGCTGCGGCAACAAATGTGGTAGGAAGGAAAAGAGGGATGAAAGAGAGAAATAAGACAGCATTAAGGACAGGGAAAGGGGGATGGACACAGAAACAGCCACCTCACATCCTCTCTTCCCCAGCAACATCGTCATCAAAATCAACATCAAGACCCAATGAAAACAGCTGCATCCTAGAAAAGTGTCCAAGTTTGTGTCCAGATAGATTGTTTGATGATTGTTGGGAGTATGAGCAGACTGACTCTGTTGTCACATTCAGGTGAAACCCAGATACGTCTATGAGGGAAGTTTAAATAATATATGTAATCAACATATATAGATATATAATGTACCTTACATATTATCTAATTAGTATATAATTATCTAATTAATATATATAAATATATAATATCTATTATATTTTCATATAATAGAGTGTTTATGAAAGTTTTAATAAGATGGCTCAATACCATATTAGATGAAGAAAAGGCAAAAAAAGTTGTATATAAAAACATTTAGGGGGCACCTGGCGGCTCAGTTGGTTAAGCATCTGACTTTAGCTCAGGTCACGATCTGACGGTTTTTGAGTTCGAGCCCTGTGTCGGGCTCTCTGCGGGATCCCCTGTCACCCTGTCTCTTTCTGCCCCTCCCCAGCTCATGTTCTCTCTCTCTCTCTCAAACTGAATAAATAAACTTTAAATAAAACAAACATTTCCTTTAAAAAATTAGGAGTTAAAACACCGCTTTAATTTTTTTTTATTGTTTGAATGTTTTTTTTTTTTTTTTTTTTGAGAGAGAGAGAGAGAGAGAGAGCGTGAGCAAGGAAGGGGCAGAGAGAGAGAGGGAAACACAGAATCTGAAGCAGGCTCCAGGCTCCGAGCTGTCAGCACAGAGCCTGATGTGGGTCTTGAACCCACGAACCATGAGATTGCGACCTGAGCCAAAGTTGGATGCTTAACCAACTGAGCACCAGGTGCCAGGTGCCTCATATATTGCTTTAATTTTTAATTGATTAAAGTATTACATGAATATGTTTAAAAGGCTAGAATAAATGGCAAAATAACGGTGGTTCTGGATGTCCAAAAGTTTTCTAGTGACTATAAAGTCCTTATATAATCAAAAGAAGATGAAATAATTAAGAACCAGGGGGTGAAACTAAAAATCAAGCAGAGAATGTATTTAACTGACTTTTAGTTCTAGGAAAGAAACTAAAAACTACACTATTGCTACAGATGTTTCTCTCTCCAGATTTCAAAAATGGTTTCCAACTCTCTCAAGGGGACTGAGCAAGAGAGGACAGATGGCTGAGCGGAAGCCACTCCCAGTGTATAAAAGTAACTCAGAGTACATGTCACGCTGATGCCACATCTGTGATATCTGCTTTGAGCCGAGAAGTATGGCACATACCGTTTCCCCCTCCTAGGGACTTGGAGCATATCGGTCCCCATGTGCGTTGCGGAAGGATAAGTATATAGTCCAGAGCATCTAAGAAGGTGTATTAGTTTCCTAGGGCTGCCACAACAAAGTACCACAAACGGAGTGGCTTAAACAACAAAAAATGTATTTTCTCAAAACTCTAGTGGCTGGAAGTCTGAGATCAAGGTGTGTACAGGGTTGGCTTTTTCTGGAACCTCTCTCCTTGGCTTGTGATGGCTGCCTTTTTGTCGTGTCCTCACATGGTATCCCTTCTGTGTCTGTGTGTCCTAATCTTTTCTTATAAGGATACCACTCATATTGGATCTGGATTCACCCTACTGACTTAATTTTAACTTAATTACTTCTTGGGGCGCCTGGGTGGCGCAGTCGGTTAAGCGTCCGACTTCAGCCAGGTCACGATCTCGCGGTCCGGGAGTTCGAGCCCCGCGTCAGGCTCTGGGCTGATGGCTCGGAGCCTGGAGCCTGTTTCCGATTCTGTGTCTCCCTCTCTCTCTGCCCCTCCCCCGTTCATGCTCTGTCTCTCTCTGTCCCCCCAAAAAATAAATAAACGTTGAAAAAAAAAAAGAATTAAAAAAAATAACTTAATTACTTCTTTAAAGACCCTATATCCAAATCGAGTCACATGCTGAGGCTCTGAGGGTTAGGACTTCGAGAGGAATTTGGGGGATGTAGCCCATAACAGAAGGTGAGGAGCTGATCGGAGAAGGTGGTTCTTTGAGTGTGACACCTGGGTGATTGTTCTTGAATCAGAAGGCTGGACATTGAGTTGCTGGGGTACTCATGAGACATGTGGTGTGGCTGGACAGGCAGACAACTTTCCAGAGGAAGGGGCAACGGCTTGGGGACAGTAGAAGCAGTAAAAGTGTAGTTAGCTATGTTTTCAGAAACTTTTGGCCAGTTGGCTCTCCTTAAATTCTGTAACGAACGAAGAAAACCATCTTAGGGTCTATTTCTAGACAGGACTTTCCAGCAGTGTCATGAAAAATTACCTAAAAGGTTATTAGAAGGAAAGGAGGTTAAGAGAATAGCAGACCTGTTGAATATCCTCCATGAGCTTTTTGATACTCTCTTTTATTTAAGATATATGAATGATATCATGCCTGCTTGAGGGGATCTACTAGAAAGTGAATTTATATTGCCGGCCAGCAATTTCATGTGAAGAACCAATGTCCCTCTGCCTGATGGTAACGAAACAGTGTGCACGCTTGAACATTTCTTGCATTGTCCATATGGGAAGATGAAGTAGCCTTGGGAAGGCGAAAGAAAAAATGAGGACAAGTAGAGCAATAGCAAACAACGACGACAAAACAAATCCCAACCCGCTTTGCCTTTTTCTGCAGTAAGAGAATTCTGAGTTTGAGTCGGAGAACTCGATTTCATTTCGTGGCAGCCTCTGGTCCCTTTTGGAAAAGGTGAGGGTACATATGATGAATAAATAATATCATCATATTTCGCCTCCGTAGAAAAAACCTGCATGTGCAAGCAACAATCTCTTTCTTGTCTCGATATTAAATTGCTTAGCTGGACTAAAGCAAACCTTTAAAAATAAATTAAAAAAAACTGCTTGGCATCCATACTGGTGTGTATAAACACAAAGGAAATCAATCAGCATGCAAAAATGACATTGAGTCAACTTTGACTTTCTTTTTCACTGGACTTCTTTTTACTTAGGCTTCATGGGGATTGTATTTTGGGGAAGCCCTGAGACACAGAAAGCTTAAGGGATGCCATGGACCGAATTATGTGCCCCCCCCCCCCCCACCGTCCCCACCGCCAGCCACCCACCCCGCCGCCAAATTCATAGGTTGAAGCCGTGACCTCCCATGAGACTGTATCTGGAGCTGGGGCCTTTGGGACAAAACTAAAGTTGAATGAGGTCACAGGGTGGAGCCCTGGCCCGATGGAATTATGTCCTTTATAAGAGACCCCAGAGAGTCTGCTCTCGCCCTGCCATGTGAGGGAGGACCCAGCAAGAAGCCAGAAAGCAAGCCGTCACCTGTAACCTAATCAGTTGGCACGTGGGTTGGACTCCCCAGACTCCACAGCTGTGAGAGAATAAAGGCCTGGCATTGAACTCCCAGTATATCGTATGGCAGCCCAGGCCGACTGGTTCCAGTGACCTGTCTAAACACCGGTCTCCTTTTCATCCTCGGGGGACTTCAACTTAATTGCTTCTCATTACCTTTTTTCCTGAAGAAATGATGCCCAGTTCCAGGCTATAGTAAGGCTATAGTAAGCTGCCCCTCTCTGTCAGAGCACTTTTTGATCGACTGATCGATCGATCGATTGATTGATTGATTTAAGAGAGGGACAGAAGGAGAGAGAGGGCGTGTGTGCAAGTGGAGGAGAGGAGAGAGGGAGAGAGAGAATCCTAAGCAGGTTCCATACTCAGCACGAATCCCGATGTGGAATTCGATCCCACAACCTTGGGATCATGACCTGAGCCGAAATGGAGCATCAGAAGCTCAACCGATTGAGTCACCAGATCCCCACTGCAAAGCAGAAGCCTGGCACGCTGTGGGCAGGACAGGTAAAGGCCCATTGATGAGCAAAGGGGCCTGAGGACAGTTTTGCTTTTCTAGTCACAATGAAGGGCATTATTAAGCAAGGACAGTAGCAAGTATGTATAATGTAAGTTAGGCAATTACCCTATTCATTCAGGAAGCCCAGGCTATCTCAGCATGATTTGGTTCAAATTCGAAATTTGAATTGGTTCCCTCACTCATTAAAAATAGGCCCAGGGCCGCCTGGGTGGCTCAGTCAGTTAAGCATCTGACTGCAGCTCAGATGGTGATCTCATGGTTCATGGGTTCAAGCTCCACATGGGGCTCCCTGCTGTCAGCGCAGAGCCTGCTTCAGATCCTCTGTCTTCCTCTCTCTCTGCCCCTCCCCCTCTCATGCTCGCACTCTCTCTCTCTCTCAAAAATAAATAAACATTAAAAAGATATTTTAAAAAACAGGCTCAGACTGGATAGAAAAGAGATTCTGCTCAAAGTCTGCTCACAGGTTCCACTTGTTAGTAGATGATGGTGGTTAACAAGCAAGGTGGATGACAATTTCATCGTGAAAAGGGTTGGGAGCTTGGATCTAGCAAGTTTGTTCTCCAATTTGGATCTTGCTATAACTAGATGTGCCATTGGCTAATCACTTACCGCTTTCTTTTTTTGTTTTTTTAACGTTTATTTCTTTTTGAGAGACAGAGAAAGAGAACAAGCTGGGGAGGGACACAGAGAGAGGGAGACACAGAATCTGAAGAGCTCCAGGCTCTTAGCTGTCAGCACAGAGCCTGACGCGGGGCTTGAGCCCGCAAACCAGGCGATCATGACCTGAGCTGAAGTCAGTTGCTTAACCGACTGAGCCACCCAGGCACCCCAATCACTTACCACTTTCCACAGGGCCTGCCCTACATTCTTCTCTCAGGTGGGGTCGGGGATGCTGAAACAAGATAATAGAGTTTTCAAAAATCTTGTAACAATTAAAAAAAAAAAAGCTTTAAAGAGGTATAGTCGATGTACAAAATTTTGTATGTATTTAATGTATATCATTTGAGTTCGGACACATGCATGCACCTGTGAAACCATCACCACGATCAAGGTATCCATCAGCTCCAGAAGCTTCCTTGTGCCTCTGAGTGTGTGTGTTAAAAACATTTAACATGAGGGACACCTGGGTGGCTCAGTTGGTTAAGCGTCTGACTTTGGCTCAGGTCACGATCTCATGGCTTGTGAGTTCAAGCCCCGCATTAAGTTCTCTACTGTCAGCGCAAAGCCCACTTGGGACTCTCTCTCTCTCTCTCTCTCTCTCTCTCTCTCTCTCTCTCTCTTTCTCTCTCCCCACCCCTCCCCTACCCCCCCCCTCAAAAATAAATAAATGGTAAAAAAACAAACAACCAACCATAAAAACAATTAACATGACGGGTGCCTGGCTGGCTCAGTCAGAAGAGCATGAAACTCTTGATTGTGGGGTCATGAGTTTAAGCCCCACGTTGGGTGTAGATTACTTAAATAAGTAAAACTTAAAAAAAAAAAATTAACACGATCTCTACCCTTTTAACAATTTTTTTTTAATTGAAGTGTAGTTGACATACATCTCATAACAGATTTAATCCAGATGGATTAAAAATCTATGTCAATACGGGCCACCGCTGAAACCTTGACTTTGTGACCTGGGTCCCAGAGAAAGGGCACAAACGTCCCTTTGGATGACAGAAATGGATGCCATCCTGTCATCCTTCGTGGTGCTTTTCATGGCTGCACCCAGGTCAGCCTTTGGCAAAACTGAACGGTCTCTTTTCATCCGTGGTCGGCTTCACTCACAATCATTACGTAGGCAGAGGTGGCTCTTAGTACCTCAACGTAAAAGGTGCTTCCTCACCCCGTTGGAGGGCGAAGAGCCTCCCTGTAGACCTCCCTGTCCTCTAGCCAAAGACGGCACCCTCCCTTCAGAACCTGCTGCCTTCAGAAACTCCTGCACCAGAAAATTAATAAAGGTGTTTGCCCATGAAGAAATCACTTTGGAAAAGTAATGACAGCATGAGTTGGAGGCCAAGTGTGGCCACATCCTGCAGCATAGTGACGGGAAAGAGCAGAAAAGGGCAAAGGGAGGAGGCTAGCTCAACTAGCGGCTAGTGAACCGACTGCATAGCCAACAGACAACTTATGGGCCAGCGTCTTCTCAAATAGAAGTAAGTTCTTTTTTATTTTGAAGTGTGTTTATTTATTTTGCGGGGTGCCTGGGTAAGCGTCTGACTTCAGCTCCAGTTATGATCTCACAGTTTGTGAGTTCAAGCCCCACATCCAGGCTCTGCATTTTAAGGGCAGAACTCAGTGCAGAGCCTGCTTTGGGTCCTCTGTCTCCCTCTCTCTCTGCCCCTCCCCTGCTCACGCTCTCTCTCACTCTCAAAAAAAAAAAAAAAAAAGTTTATTTATTTCTTTTCAGAGGAGGATAGGGTCAGAGAAAGAAGGAGAGAGAATCCCAAGCAGGCTCTGAGCTGTCAGCACAGAGCCCAACACAGGTCTCAAACTCATGAACCATGAGATCATGGCTTGACCTGAAATCAAGAGTCAGATGCTTAACCGACTAAGCCACTCAGGTGCTCCCCAAACAGAAGTAAATTCTGATCTGCAGGATCAAAGCTACCAACCTGTTGGATTTCTTTTTTACTATTTTTCTGAGAGGTTAATTAATTACAGCTCTCCTAGCCTTTCCTGGTCAATGTACCTGGCAATCCCCAGAGTCAATTCTGCACCTACAGCAAAGAGTGTTTTCCTGAGGGATGGGGTAATGTTTTGGTAAAGCCAACCCAGGATAGAGGCCAAAGAGGTCCAACTAGGGAATTTAATTATATAAGTGCATAACTCACCACTCCCCATTCTCTATTTTTCCTAACTTGCATATGCAAATTCTCAGAATGAGAGAGAATTAAGGAAGGACGAAGGATTGAAGGAGGAAGGACTTTCAAGTATTAAACAATAAATGGCCTACTTTCTTGAGTCCCTACTTGTGGATCCTGTGCAGGTTCTAGCATTGGCCCATCTTTGTCTGTGTTCCCTAATAATTTTGTAAATTACGTACTGTTTGCCAAATACCCAACCTACTTTCAAACACTATTCAGAACAGCCATTTTCTTTCCTTCTCTCTCTCTTTTTTTTTTTTTAACGTTTATTTATTTTTGAAAGGGAGAGAGAGTGTGAGCAGGGGAGGGGAACAGAGAGAGAAAGAAACAGAATCGGAAGCAGGCTCCGAGCTGTCCGCACAGAGCCCAATGTGGGGCTCGAACTCACGAACCACGAGATCATGATCTGAGCTGAAGTCGGACGCTTAACCGACTGAGCCACCCAGGTGCCCCAGAGAGCAGCCATTTTCAACTGTCAGCTCTACCTGGTGAATTCTTCAATCTACATTTCTTTGTTTAAAACCTTTTTTTATGTTTGTTTATTTTTGAGAGACAGAGCACACAAGTGGGGGACAGGCAGAGAGAGGGAGACAGAGGATCCGAAGCGGGCTTTGCGCTGACAGCAGCGAGTCCAAAGTGGGGCTCGAATTTCCAAACCGCGCGATCATGACCTGAGCCAATCATGACCTGAACCGAAGTCGGACGTTCAGCCGACTAAGCCATGCAGGTGCCCCTACATTTCTAATTTTAACCTTCTCAACAACTCTTAGTCTGCATCTCCAGTATTTACTGGGCACACCCACCTGGAGGTTCCACCAAGTCCTTGGACCTGTTGGGCCCAGAAGGACTTTCTGTTTCCTTGCAAACCATCTTCTCCTGTGTTCCCTATTTCCGTTCATGCCTGGACCTCGGACGCTCTGGTCACCTACGCTCTCGGTAGGTGGGTCTCAACTCAGCCACACGCTGGAAGGGCCTGGGGGGAAATCTTACCAAAAAATCCATGGGCCTCACCTCAGATCAATTATATTGGAATCTGTAGGGGTGAGATCCAGCCTTCAGCATTTTTAAAAGCTCCTGAGGTGGCTCAGATGTACAGCCAGCGTTGAGAACTACTCATCTGGGCCTTGAGCGTCTCTGACTCTGGAGGTCACGAGTGCAGTCTGCGACTTACCCCTACAGTCTCTCAGGGATCTCTCTCCCCCGTTCTGGTCCTGGTCTCCTCCCTGCAGCTTAAGCGTCACGAAAGCACCTCTTGACATCTTGTTCTCTCCCCTTCTACTCATGCCAGACAAATTCTCCCTGATATATGGTTCTGATCATATCAAACCTCATTTCAAAGCCCTCCAGCTGGCATGAGCCTCAGTCATGGTCACGCAGACCTCTGCCAGGCTTATGCTCACCACTCCCTGTAAGGAACTCTTTCTGACAGTCAAAGCAAACTGCTTGCCCTTCTCTGTCTCTGACCCCAAGTTTCCTGCCTCTGTGCCTTTGCTCATGCAGTTCCTGCTCCCTGGGACACCCTTCCCTCCATTCTGCACTTGTCTCCGTCCTTGGCATTCGTCAAGAGCCTTCCCTGATCTTTCCAGCCAGGAACAATTTCTTTCTTCTCTGAATTGTCTTTGAACTTCTACGTCCCTAATGAATTATTATTCTGCTTTTACTTTAATAGTCAAAACTAATTACTTGCTTTCCTAGGACAGTGGCTCTCAAAATTGAATATGCATGGGGATCACCTGGGGAACTTGTTTAAAATGCATATTCCATGGGGCGCCTGGGTGGCTCAGTCGGTTAAGCGTCCGACTTCGGCTCAGGTCACGATCTCGCGGGCCCGTGAGTTTGAGCCCCGCGTCGGGCTCTGGGCTGATGGCTCAGAGCCTGGAGCCTGCTTCCGATTCTGTGTTTCCCTCTCTCTCTGCCCCTCCCCCGTTCATGCTGTGTCTCTCTCTGTCTCAAAAATAAATAAATGTTAAAAAAAATTTTTTTAAATGCATATTTCTGGGGGCGCCTCGGTGGCTCCATCGGTTAAGCGTCGGACTTCGGCTCAGGTCATAATCTCCCCATTCGTGGGTTCAAGCCCCACATCGGGCTCTGTGCTGATGGCTCAGGGCCTGGAGCCTGCTTCCGATTCTGTGTCTCCCTCTCTCTCTCTGCCCCTCCCCTGCTCATGCTCTGTCTCTGTCTATCTCAAGAATAAATAAACAATAACATTTTTTAAATGCATATTCCTAGGCTAATTTCTAGAGATCCTCAAAATTTGAGAACTAATGCTCTAGCAGAAACACACCAACCAGCAAGTGGTCTCCAAATGGTGTTCCTACGACCATACTCTGAGGAAAACTGGGACAAGAGGGTCTTTCTGATTTCAGGTCACTCGGATCCCTGACTACAATGACTCATTGGAATTTTGTAATATACATCCAAGTTATTTACTTTTGAGAGAGAGCGAGTGTGTGAAATGGGGAGGGGCAGAGAGAGAGGGAGACACAGAATCCGAAGCAGGCTCCGGGCTCCGAGCCGTCGGCACAGAGCCCAACACGGGGCTCGAACTCATAGACCGCGAGATCATGACCTGAGCCAAAGTCGGATGCTCAACTGACTGAGCCACTCGGGCGCCCTGAAGCCGACTGTTTTTAAATTCGCTGAGTTTCAACTAATTTGTAGATCAATTTGGTCAGGTATTTTAACCTTGCTGAGGTAGTTTCCTTATCTGCTCAAAAATGTTGCCCTATTTGATCTTTAAGATCCTGTTAGTTCTATAATTGTATTAGTTTTGTGATTCAGTTCATAGACTTTAACAATACATGTTTAAGTGGTGAATCACGGTTTTTATGTATCTGAATATGCCTTACCTACCAATTTAGAGAGTGAAAAAAATATATATACATTTATTCACAGTTTTAATACTCAGATAATCAGTTTCTCTCTCCATGAAAGACCAGCAACTATATTTTAAATTATAAATTTAGCTCTCTATTGTGTTTTATTATTTAAGATATTTAAGTTATACTTGCATGCTGTGCTGGGACAGTTATTTTACGTTAATGCAGAATTTTCCGAGTAGATCTGTTTCACCCCCCACTGTGGCCCATCTTCCTTAGGATGTGCCCTGCTCCAGCCCAGCGTTTCTCAGTGTGTGGTTGGTCAGGGGAGCCCGGGGATCCTGGGGACCCTTTCAGAGGGTCTGTGAGATCCTCCCTTTTCCAACTATGGATATGCGTGAGGCCAGACTGTCTTCGTATAAGTCAACCCAAAACATCGTGCTGCAGAGTAGATTGAATGCAGATATGAGAATCCAGCTGTCTTCCATTAAACCATATAGCAAAGAGATTTGCAAAACAGACCACTCTTCTCAATGTTTTTGTCTTGGAAACTCTATTTTTCATAGAGATGTGTTATTTAAAGTCACATTCGATAGGTTTATTATTGTCCTTTTAAAATGAATTAATAGGGGCGCCTGGGTGGCTCAGTTGGTTGAGCGTCCGACTTCAGCTTGGGTCATGATCTCGCGGTCTGTGAGTTCGAGCCCCATGTCGGGCTTCGTGCTGACCGCTCGGAACCTGGAGCCTGCTTCAGATTCTGTGTCTCCCTCTCTCTCTGCCCCTCCCCTGTTCATGCTCTGTCTCTCTCTGCCTCAAAAATAAATAAACGTTAAAAAAAATAAAAAAAATAAAATGAATTAATAAAAACAAACGTCAGAAAATTGTCACCACTTTAACTTCTAATACGGTAAATATTGATAAATATAACCTACCTCCTTGGACCTCCTCGGGGGCTCTGAGTAACTTTCAGGAGCGTAAGTGTCCCGAGACCAAAACACTTGAAAACATTGCCGAGAACTTTTGGCTCCGGAAGAAACATACACCGCGTTGAAATTCTTTTTATACAGAATGGAAAGAAATAAAAATTGCAAAATCAAGAGTTTTTCTCGGGCCCCGACCTTCATCCTGCTGTGGTTAGAACATGGCTGGTCTAGGCCAGTGGTTCACCTGGAGCCTAAGTCAGAATCACCTGGAGGGCTCGTTCTGGGAGGGGTCTCCCACCCAGAAGATGTGGGTGAGTCTGAGCCCACGGGCTCCCAGGGGGGTGCTGACACCACAGGTTCGGAGCCCATCCTGTGGGCACCACTGATCCAGGCTACTGCTCCCAGGATTCTTCTCCAAACTATTTTGCCAGCTCTATGAAGGAAACGAATTTTTGTCCGGAACACCAGTCAGAAACACACATTTAATGGACGTTTTAGTCGGAGTCTAAATCAGTCGTAGACCCACGGCAGTGGGGGTTATAAATGGAATGGTAAGCGAAGGGGGTAGTTGTGTCCATTCAGATGGATCGGAGCTGTCTGGCAAGCAGTCGGGCGTCCGCGCGTGCAGTCAAGTCTCACTCACGTCCAGCAAGAATGTTCTGCTGGGAGATTCGGGTTTCTGTAACATTCTTTTAACTTCAGTTGTAAAATACCACCAATTGGTTGCTGAACACAAAAACCTACTGTACTGTGTTAAATAGTGCCCCCCACCCCCGCATTCATGTCCTTCCCAGAACCTCGGGATGTGACCATCCTTGCAAACAGGGTCATTGCATATGGGACCGATCCAATTCAGATGAGGTCATGATGGAATAGGGCGGGGCCTTAACACAATATGACTGACTCCCTTTTAAAAAGAGGAGAGACCCAGAGACAGACACATACAAAGAGAATGTCCCGTGAAGACAGTGGCAGGGGAGAAGACGGCCGTGTGACGACAGAACACAGATGGGAGAGAGGTAGCTGCAGCTGCCAGAGGCTGGGAGAGCCGCGTGGAACAGACTCGGCCCCTGACATGGAACCAACCCTGCTGATTCCTCGCCTGTGCGCGTCTGGCTTCCTGGCCTCTGAGAAAATAAATTCCTGCTGTTTTAAGTCACCTGGTTTGTGGTCATTTGTTAGGCCAGGCTTGGGAAACACATACATGGAGAAGACAATTAAAGAAGATTCTGGGGACGCCTGCATGGCTCAGTCAGTTAAGCATCCGGCTTTGGCTCAGGTCATGATCTCACGGTCTGTGGGTTCGAGCCCCACATCGGGCTCTGTGCTGACAGCTCGGAGCCTGGAGCCCGCTTCAGAGTCTGTGTCTCCCTCTCTCTCTGCCCCTCCCCTGCTCGTGCCCTGTCTCTCTTTGTCTCTCAAAAAATAAATATTAAAACAAAATTAGAGAAGACTCTGGAAGGTACAGTAGACACTTGTGCACCTCCTGACCTACTGCTTCCCGTTCTGGGTCCCGTTTCTGCAGCCCGGTCTGTGGGGGCTCCGATCACTTCAGACCCTCACCGGCTACCTCCCAGCTTCTGCCCTGGGGGCTCCTTGTCCATGCCGCCCAGTAGCCCTGCTCGCCACCAAATGCACACACAGCCCCAAGGGTGGGACGGTTAATGTCTCTTGGGACAAACCTTTGAATAATGAAATACTGGACTCACTGAATAAATCCTTCCCTCTTTCTGCCATGGAGAGGTTTTCCTGAAATGCAGATTACAAAGCTTTTAAGAAAACGTTCTGTCAGGTTGAACAATCCATGCCTCTTCACGGTCAGCGTGCTAACACACGTTGACGTTGGCCCCCCTCCTTCCCTGCCCCCTTCCTCTGCTCCTCACCCCGCTTTCTTTACTAAAGCATGAGCATGTAAACCTCCGCTTCAGACTCTACTTTCTGGGGAACCCAGGGGAAAACAGACCTTAAACAGCCCTGTTGACATTTCAATAACATAATAATCAGAAATAGTAACACAGTAAAGTAGTAACACAAACATGGTAAGAAAATTTACGATCTTCAGAAATGTTAAAAAAAAGAAAAAGGTAGCCCCAGTTTGCTTATACTTTCTGAAAGGATTTATATGGATATATGTTTTTAGTTTTTGCCAAGTATTCCAAGGAATGCTACGCCATATTTAATTTAACCAGTCGCTTGACTGATGGACATTTGGGCTGCTTTCCATATTTTGCCATTACGAACAATACTGCGGTGCCCACCCTTGTAAACGTTCCTTGGTGTACTTTTTGCAACTGTATAACATCGTCATCGCTTCTCGGCCTTTTGGCCAAGAGCAAGTGCAAGTGTATAACATCGTAAACACGTAGGAGTAGAAGTTCTGGGCCAAGTCCAACCAGAAGCCAGAGGGCCCGTGAGCCTGTTGCCATAGTCCAGACAAGTCAGCCTCCTGGGGTCCTGAGCGGTAGACGGGGATGGAACGTGGACCTGAAAAGGCAAATAGGAAGCACTAGGATTACGGGAACATGTTTGGCTGCAAGGAACAGACAACTGGGCCAATGTGTCTTCAACAGAGAGAGGTCTATTCTTCCCAGGCAATGAAGGATTCTGGAGGTGAGCTGTCCAGGCCTGGAGCGCGTTGTGCAGAACATCACCAAACCCGAACTGCTTCCATCTCCTCCTCCGCCGTCTTCGGCACTGGGCTTTTGTCTTCAGGACTGTAACTGGGCCGCTGGACCTCGAGGCAGGGTACCCGTGTGTCAAGGCAGAGAAAGGGTGAAGGGTAACAACGAGGGGGGAGAAGGCTACAGGCGTGGGCAAGCATCACTCTCTTCTCAATTCAGATAGATGTTTGTCGAGCCCATCTTGGTGCAACACAGCCCAGGAATGTCCCTCTCACCCTCTCACCCGGTGGAAAGGTCAACCACCCTCCACCCTTTCCGGTACAGATGCCTCATTGAAAAGTGGGAATCACATTCTGTACTATTTTACCGATTTTCTGAAAAAATCAACTCGATTCTGTAGACAGAGGGTTCCGAAGCTCAGAATCTTCGTGGAAAGGAGCGGGTAGCAAGCTAGGGGCCTTAGCTAATGGAGGGGTTGCTTCATTTCAAGGATGACGGGCAGGGACACTGATGTCTCCCTGGAGATGCTGGTCTCTGGCGCTCTGGTCATTGGCTCTCGCACGTAAACCACACCACAATCTGCACTGCAATGTTCTCTGAACAAATGCTATCACATTCGCTGGGGGGCCCTGTGGCAGACTCATCCAAGGTCAGAGCCATGGCTCTGTGGCAGCATAGAATCCAATTGTCTTTTCACTCTTCCCCAGGGGTTCTGACGTGGTTGTAATCCAGATCAGCATGGGAAGTCACGACGGGAGCAAAGGTCTGGCGTCTTTCGCGAACAGGCTCATTGGAGAATGTGGGGAAGTGCCTGAGCCGAGGTCAACTGAATTCCCTTCTAAATAGCTTTCCCAGAAACTTTTCCTTACTGTCCAAGGGTAGAACATTCCCAGAATGATGAGGCCAACCTAGCTCTAGGTTGATCCTAAAGACCTGAACCTTGCTGCTTCCCCTCCTGCACTGGAAAGGAAGGCAGTGGGACAGGGCTTATGAATGACACCAGAGAACCAACAGCAGTGTCTGCTACGATTAAAAAAACAGAGCAAATAGAGGTGATTCCCTATAGAATAAACACTAACAGCATCTTCTTTTTTTATTAAAATTTTTTTTAATGTTTATTTATTTTTTGAAATAGAGAGAAACAGTGTGAGCAGGGGAGGGGCAGAGAGAGGGGGAGACAAAGAATCTGAAGCGGGCTCCAGGCTCCGAGCCGTCAGCCCAGAGCCCGATGCGGGGCTCGAACCTATGAAACGCGAGATCATGACCTGAGCCGAAGTCGGACGCTTAACGGACTGAGCCACCCAGGCACCCCACTTACGGCATTATCTCAATGATTCCTTCTAGAATAAAAACCCAAATAACCTTAAGGATATATTGTTACATATGAATTTCGATGATGTTTTAAAAACTGTTATACAAAAGAGATCATGCTAAACATACTGTTTTGTATTTTGTGATATTCACTCAATAACGTATCTTTACGAATTTCCAAACTGGCATAGACAGACCCACCCTACAGTACAGAGGAACCACACAGAAGTTATCGAACCGGGTTCACACGGACAGATACTTGCTAGTGTCCAGGGTTTCACTGTTCCGGGGGACGCCCTGGTGGAACTCTGATAATTGCCACACAACGGGTCTTCAGTGCCACCAACCGTGTGTGGGAGTGCCTGTCTCACCACACTGTCACCAGTTAGATATTGTAGGCTCACATTTCAGCCAAGCTACTGAGTGTAAATACGTGACTTATCAGTACCTGTTCAATACTGGTTGAAGCTAAGCATTCTCTAATTACTGCACTTTAAGCACCCGTGTCCATTTATATTTGAATGACTACAAGGACACCTGGGAGGCTCAGGCAGGTAAGCATCCGACTTCAGTTTGGGTCATGATCTCACAATCTGTGGGTTCAAGCCCCGCGTCGGGCTCTGTGCTGACAGCTTGGAGCCTGGAGCCTGCTTCGGATTCTGTCTCTCTCTCTCTCTCTCTCTCTCTCTGCCCCTCCCCCGGCTCACACTGTCTCTCTCAAAATAAAATAAAGACAAAAAAAAAAATTTTTTTTTTTTTTATATTTGAACGACCAGAACACGTCTATTTCCATCTCAAACTTCTTCTGAGCTCCCAAATAGTGGACTATTTATTTGATGGGCAAATGTCAACTATACACAATAACTCAAAAGGGCTTCAACAGTAATGGGGTTTAGAATTTCAAAACAGGAAACTGCAAGCTGCCATGGCCACAGGGTGGTCCATGCAGTGACTCAACAGCGTCACCAAGAACCTGGACGCTGTCCTCATTCTTCAGCGTCTTCTTGCCTGGCTCTCTCCCCCCACCCCCAACCAGTTGCCATATCCTGACACCCTCCTCTGGAGGAAGAGAAAGGACCACTGTTTCTCAGCGTCTCTTTTAAAAGATGAGAAATGTTCTCCAGCTATACCTTCAGGAGACTGACCTCTCACAGGACTGAGGCATGTGACTTTTCTTAATCCCACCACAGGGAATAGGAA